CGCTGTGGTATGATTCTTTTAATTCTTTTGGGAAGATACCCAGCAGGGGAATAGCTGGGTCAAATGGGACCTCTAGTCCTAGTTCTTTGAAGTATGAATTTTTTTTGATTAGCACATAATTGTATATATTTATGGGGTACAGTATCACATTTCAACATATGTATACGGTAGGAACTGATAAAATCAGTATAATTAATATTTCTAGCTCCTTATTATTACTTTGTGTTTGGAGCCTTCATGCTCTCTTCTAGTTGTTCATAAAATATATTAAGGGGCATTGTGAATTATAGTCACTCCACTGTGCTAAAGAACGTTAGAACTTATTTCTTCTGTCTATATCCCCCTCCATCAGCCCAAGCCTCTAGTATTTGTCTTTCTGTGCCTGATTTATTTCAGTTAAGACAATGTCTGTCAAACCAGGAATGGTGGTGCACTCCTCTAATCCCAGACTCTGGGAGAGAGATAGGAGGATGGCAAGTTCAGTCTGGGCAGGTTAGCAGCTTAGCAAGACTTTGTTTCAAAATTCTAAAACAAATTTAAAAAGGGCTGGGGATGTAGCTCAGTGTGAAAGCCTTGAGTTCAGTCCCCAGTAAAACACACAGACACACACACACACACACACACACACACACACAATAATGACCTTCATTTCCATCTATTTTGCTGCAAATTATAGAGTACACAGGATGGCAATATCTTAATGGACAAGGCTATTTTAATAATGCCACAAATAACAGTTGTGTTGAATTAAGTGTTTGTACAAGTGGCTTGCAGCAAGGCTGGGTGTGATAGGCAGTGTGTCTGGGCATGCCTGAGACCACTCAGTATCAGTCCTTTAACTTGGGAGATTTGCTCAGTCAGGTAGTTCTCCTCCCTCCCTCCTTTCCTTCCTCCCTCCCTCCTTCCTTTCTTCTTTCTCTCCTTCTCTCTCTTTCTAAAATGTAAGTTCCTCAATAAAATATATGCTTCTTGAGGGTAGGGGACTGAATTCCATTCTTCTTTCTAGCCAGCCCACATTTATGGAGTCCCTGACCCTAGGGCTGTCCTGTGCTCATTTCTGGAGATATGGAGATGAACTAGAATGCTGGCCTTCATCCCAGTGGTAAGGGCAGATAATCGTCCCGTGGAGACTTAGCTTGGGGCTCCAGGGAAAGGAAGATAGAAGAGGTGCACCTGACTTG